GAAAAAAAAAAGTTAAAGGGAAGAAGAAAAATAATTAAGGAGACAAAAAAAAAAGGGAAGAGAGAGAGGAGAGAAAGAGAGTAACTAGAGTGGAAAAGATAGGAGATAGAGACACAAAATAAAAAATAAGAGATAAGGAGAAAATATAAAGATAAAAGATATATAAATGAGAAAAAAAAACTATGAATAATTTAAATTATTGTTATTCTTTTTGAAAATTTTTGAAATTCTATATTTTTAAATAATTTTACAAATATTTGAATGTTAAATTCTTTGTAAAATCTTTATATAGAAAAAACATTTCACTTTAAAATACTTAAAAAAATTGAATTATTTTATTAAAATTTTTCATCTAAAGATGAAAAACCATAACTCTTAATCATATAATTTCTATTAAAACAAATATATTTTTCAATGATTAAAAATATATTTAAATCTAAATTTTAATTATATATAATAAATATTTAAGATATATAACGTCATAATAAAATATTAATTAAATTATATAACCAATGCTTCAAACTTGATACAAAAGCAGATAAGAGAGAACAACACTAAACTCCAACAACGAGCCATAACTCCCTTCCCTCTAAATCCTTGAGTTCTAATCCTCTAATCTTTAATTCTAAATCATTTTCTCTCTATGTCTCATAATAAATATTATGTTAAAATAAAAAAATCTCAAAAATAAATATCATATTAATTTTTTAATATAATACTAATTACCTCTTTTCTATTTATAATCCTAATACTATTCTTCAAAATTAATTATTGTGTAACATTATTTCTAAGATAAAAGATTAATCTTAAAATTTATTTTATAAAATTAATGTTATCTTTCATCTAATTATTATTTTTTCTTGAGTTATGGAAAATAACATAATACCATACTTATTATAAATCAGAAGAAGTTTTCTTACATCTCACTCCTATCCTAATCCCAAAGCCCCCAAGAAAACCCTGAAACCCATGACCCGTAAAACCTCACATCATAAACCTTAAACCCTATAATTCAAACTCTCCAAACACAAACCCTATAATTCAAACTCTCCAAACACTTAAGTCTGTCAAACATCATGGTATATTATGTAGATTAAGAAAAAAGAGAGAAAGAATTTTGAAGAGAATTGATGAAATTTCTTATTACAGAAAAACAGAGAAAGAAAATTACAAAAGTCACAAAACAAAAATACAAGATTAACTATTTATAAAAGAAAAAACAATGATAACAGCTAACTAATTATAATTACTCACAAACTAATTGAGAAAGACAAAAATTAACAGTAAACTTTTGTGCACATTATATTCCGTAACAAAGTCCAAAACACCTTAAAGGCATAAACCCAAAAACTTTAAAACACACAAACTTATAACCGTCTTATAAGTAGACCAGTTCATCGATTAGAACGAAAATCCATTCACCTAACTAATTCAAATAAAAACCTTGAAAAACGGTTAAAAAAAAAACCAATAAATAACATGTTTTCAGCGAGTCAACTATTTTGAAACATTATTTTAACTATTTTCTTAAAAAAATAAATCAACCTGAAATATTATTTTCTTTACTATTCAAAATATAATTTTAATAAATACTATATATATATATTATTAAAAACTAAATTAAACTATTATAATACCCTTAATTCCAACATTTGTATATAATTTATATATCAACATCGTATACAATTTGCACTTTTTTTTATTATAAACTTATGATATTATGTTTTATTTAATAGAAATGTATATGTGTGTGCATCATTATTATTATAATATTAATGTTGTTTCAACCACAATTAATTGAAATTCAACCATTAAACCTTAAATAAATCATCTATAATCCTTAAACCTTACTTCTCTCATTTTTGAATATTAACAAAAATAACATGTGTTTATTAATCTTAAATATATGCAAATTTTAATGAAATTTATTATATTTAACACTCATCTTCAAAATATCCTTTCATTTAATCAATGTTACATTTCTAATGATCCCTATTATTCTTAATATCAAAATTTAAGAAAGAGTAGTTTAAAAAAGTAAGTTATATTTTAAATGAATTTCGTGTAATTAACACTTTCTTTGTTAGCAAGAATACATCCTAAGACCGAGTATTGCGGCACCTTGAGTATATATTTTTTGTCATTTTACCGGATATTCAATTTTCATTTTGTTATTATCCACGACTAAGAACATTTATTTCTCAACCCAATATTTTGCTCCCTCATATACTTTCACCAATGGATGAATTCAATGGAATTCATAACTGTCCAAATGATTTTTTATCATCTACAATCTCAACAATCAATATTGTTTTGCCTTTTTTTTTTCTTTGTGCATAATAAACTAAACCAACGGAAAAACAATACTTATCCTTGGTACATTCAAACCGAATGCTACAGAAAAGGTATCAATTAAATAATCAAAACAGGCTTGTTAAAGAGAGAGGGAGAGAGACCTATGAGGCAAAATAAAAAGGTCACTTGTCGTGTGAAATCCATATCTGCTCAAATCTTGGCTGAAGTCACACTATCCTTTGGCCCTGAAAATGAAGAGATATCTCACAATTTTTATTGGCAACATAAGCTATATGATACAACTTTTATTGACAATACCAAACTATATAATATAACTTTTATTAGAAACTTTAAGCAATATGGAGAATTTTATTTCACTTTTTTCTTTTCATTTAACCAATGGAGAATGTATAATTTGGTTTGTGAATATTTCGTCTCCACATCTAATAAAGTTCATGTTAAAAGAACTAATTTATTGTGTAGATGACTGTTTTAGAAAACAAATTATATATTCACACAATTTTAAGGTACAAAACATTTCACTCTCTATAACGAAATTGTATATAGACTCAATCATATATTAGATAAATATTTTTTTTTATACATTAAAAGAAAATTCAAGCTCACAATATGGACACCGAACAGAACCAAAAAAAGAAAGGAAGAAACACAGCACTTAAAAGCAAGGAATTTGATACCGAAGGGAGATGATGACCTTGCAGAATTTTTTTATTACCAGTAAACCCACCAAAAGTCAACCATCAATCATTCATATATTTGTATGATAATAGTGAATTCATGTTTAAATTAATAGAGCAAAAATTTGAAAATTAAATTAGGTATTTACTTTATATTAAAACAAATATTGATCAAATAAAACTATGAATATTTCTTTTTTGAACTTCATTAAATATTTAAATTAATATATTAGGTTTTTTCCAATCTAACGATATTTTTTGAAAGAAATAAATTCTCAAGTTAAATAATAAAAAATAATAATTATATAAATGCATGATGAATGTTTAAAAATAAAACATTCCTAAAACAATTAATATAATTTTTTACTACAATACAATGATCATTAGTCTTATTTTTAGAAACTTAAATGGCAAAATATTTAAAGAGTATTTATTTAATTTAACTTTGAATATTTAATTAATAATATACAAGAGAATATATTTAATTTTCTGTGCAATACATGGATGATCTATTAATAATTTTAAAATTTTATTTCTTTAATTTATTTTAATCAAATAATAAAATAAAATATTTATTTTTCATTATTAATCAATATAAATTTGGTCTATATTTGGTCCAAGCTAACTTAAAAATGATGGTAATCGTTTCAAGTAGAACCACAGTTAAAAAAATCTAGCTACCTAAAGAATGTCATTCACTATACAGGATATAACTTTTATTGGAGAAAGAAAGAGATGTATCATATAGGAATAGGAATGGAGTAGAAATGGGAGATAAAATAACGGCCTTAAGGAAGAGAAAAAAAAAAAAAAAAAAAAAAAGGAAAAAAAAAAAAA